ACCAATAATTTCATTTAGTAATTGCCATGTTTTTTAGGAATCTGTTTGACAATTTTTAAGCAGTTTATTATAATAACTAGCTTTAGCGGTTTTTTTAAGTTTCTTTAATAAATTTGCACAATACTTGTATACTGTTTTTGTTTTATCACATCTTTTAAAAGATACTTTATATATAATCTTTATTTCTGGTTTAACTTTTATTTTTATGTATAATCTTTAGTTGATTTTAGAAGATTTTTACTTAACCAAGGTGAGTTTGACCAAGGTGAGTTTATGTCCTTGAGTTTAATAGTTTTTGTAGCTTTAGAAAAGCTCTCAGCAATCAAGGAAGTGCCTCTAAATAACGTGTCTTTACTCACACTTTGTTGTTAAATTTTGGTCGTAATATGCCGGTTGTCACTGTGCTTCGAAACACTGGAAAAGTATTTTGATGTAGCCTAAAACAAATAAATCTGCTGAGTTGTACTTTCTCTTTCTCTAATCAAGAAAAACTGAGCCACTAAAAAAAGTCTAAACAAGTTGGTTTATCAAAATTATCAAACCGATTGAGCAAAAATGAAAAAAAAGCTCTGAAAAACTCCAATCATGTGCTGTGCAGAGTCTCGTGTGCTTAATCAAGAAGAAGATACGAAATTTGCATTTCTCAATGATTTGAACTTTTTTTATCAAATTTAATGTTAGTGTTGTTGTTGTTGCTTTTTATATATGTTTCTGATATTGTTTAAGAATTATATGTACAATTTACGTTTAATATTGTATGTAAAAGTATAGTTTATACTTTAGCATACTGTAGCATGTATAATTTTTTTGGATGTATAATCAGTTTATGTGTTAGCATTTATTTTGCTCATTTTTGTTTGTTAACAATATTCTTTCTTATGTCTTATTAAACTTTATGTTATCTCATACATCCATTTTTTCTAATGCCTGATCCATTTGTTCTTTCTTGTTTTGTTAGTCTTGCATTTTTTTAATTATTATTCCAATATTTAATGAATTTCTTTCATCTCCATCGTCTCCATCTTTTATATTTTATAGTTAATTTTGTTTGATTGTTTAATATTAAATATTTATGTATATAACAGTATGGCTGCTTGTTTTATTTGTTTATTTTATTAAGGTGTCACTCCATTGACTAATTTTAAATTATAGTTAACTTTGTAATTTTAAATTTTATGGTTAAATAAATGGAACATAAATATTATAATTATCATTATTTTTGTATATATATATATATATATATATATATATATATATATATATATATATATATATATATATATATATATATATATATATATATATATAGTATATATATATATATATATATATATATATATATATATATATATATATATATATATATATGTATATATATATATATATATATATATATATATATATATATATATATATATATATATATATATATATATATATATATATATATATATATATATATATATATATATATATATATATATAATATATATATATATATATATATATATATATATATATATATATATATATATATATATATATACATATTGCGCCTCCTTACATAAACTTTAATTTATAAAGGCTCATTTTCTGAACAGAAGAGTGCCCTTTAGCAATAACATAGTTAATAAACTTTTATACGATTATCTTCTTTTAATAGGAAACTTTTAATACTAATTTATTTATGTTTTTTTTTTATACTTCGAGAGTATATAGACAGCCCCATCATAAGACAATAACGTTAAAATATTTTGACAAAATCATTAAAAAAAAGTAAAAAGAAAAAAACACGTTTAGATTGCGAAAAACGAATCATTAGTTTCTAAAACATAGTTGAAACATAGTTGGTAAAAACTTAGTTGATCATAGTTGATAAATTGTGAGCATAGTTGATAAACTAATTGCACCAAAATTGCGTCTAGAAAGTGATAAGAAACTACAAAATTGTGTCAAGTGGTTGGTAATAAACTTTGTGATTGATAATAAACTTTGCAGTGGAAAAACAAATTATTTAAAATAATACATGCGTTAAATTTAATGACGATTCAACAGATAAAGTTTTTTAAACAGATCAAATTAAAGACTTATGTTCAGATCATTATTTAAAATTAAATGAAATAAAGATTTTCATCAGCCAAAGTTATGAAGAGTTTTGCACAACTGATTTAGAACAACAAGGGAAAATGGATTCCCGCCTTTCTGACCGAGCTGAAATGAATTAAAATGAACTTTGTTTAGAAATATCAAATTTTCCACCAATATCAGTGAAAAACTTTTAACTCAAGGATCTAGCAACATGCTCTAAAGTAACGGACTAAATAAGATGTTATTTGATTCAGCATGGGCTAGAGCAAAAAAGAAGAGTAGGTTTTCCAAATACGCTGTGTGATTTTAACAACAGAATGCGGCACTTTAGCATAAATTCGTCAAAAATATTCATTACAATGGTGATTAAATTTGTTTGCTATTGGTACAACTAAAAAAAAGATTCTTTTTGTTGTTGTTGTTCTTTGTTGTTTTAACAACGAAAACCAACAAATTCTACGATATTTCAATAGGGTTTTGTGACTGGAAAAAACTAATCTAAAATATTCCTGAATATAAAACAACGATGAACATCAAAAATGCTATTCTGATTAAAAAACCTTAAAGAACAAAAGAACGACCATGGATTTTGATCTGGAGAGAAAATGTCAATGGAGTGATGAAAAAGTGGAGAGACATCTTGAATGTGATTGTCGATGCAATTTTGCTCTGTGCAAAAAATCTTCTCAATAGGTTTCCATTCAGAATTTGAGAGATGTTGGAGTAGACAACATTGCCATAGATGCTACATAAACAACCAATTAAAATAGAATTGAAGGTGGTTTTCCAATCAAAAGGAAGAGCAAAGTAAAGAGGATGGGAATTTATGAGGCTGAAGACAACTTTCACTTCATCACAGCAGAAACAGAATTTGGATCCGAATGCAACGTTGTATTTGACAGCATTATTACATAAGTTAAGTAGAGGTTGAAGGCTATGTCTGCTGTATCAATCAATTTCGACTTCCTCTGTGGGCATTCACTCACTAATAGTTCAGTGGATGAACTTAAACAAAATCCAAAATATTTTTTTAGATTTACGAGACAGATTTAGATTGTTCTTTTTTTCAGTCAGAATTGGCAAGAATTATATATCAAACAGCTGTAACGATGAAAAACTTTTAAAAATTTACCCCAAACGACATTTTGCAGCTCATTTATAAATATATAAATATTCATTTATAAATATATAAACATTCATGCTTATCCTAACACGACAATTGCAATTCGCATCTTCCTTGTCATACCAGTCAAAATTGCTACGTGTGAATGAAGTTTCATAATACTTAGGCTCATAAAAAACTATATGAAATCAACTATGGGCAAATAAAGTTTTTATAGTCTAGCTAAAGTTTTAAATAAACATGAAGCGGTCGACAGCCTTGATTTTTGTTGACATCATTAGTGAATTTGAGGCAAATTCACTAATGATGTCAACAAAATTAATTAAAAGCTAGAAAAGTGAACTTGAATTGTAGTTAGTGCAATATTCGTGACAAATTGTACTTTAAGTTAAGAAAGTTATACTTTCCAAATCAAAAACAAATATATTAATATATTAGTTTTTAATTTGGAAAGTATAACTTTCTTCGGAAAATTTTTCGAAGTTTTTGTAAAACTAACAATTTGTTTTAAATATATCAAATTACACTTTTAACTTGGATTTCTCTTTATACCTTCCCTTGCCTAGATTAAATCAAATCTAAGCTGTGTATTATATATCATTGCATTTTTATATAACTTTTAAAAGAATGCCTAGGTAAAATAAGGACGTCTTTAGGACGTCTGAACAAGACGTCCTTAAGTCTTTCACATGAGAACAGCCAGAGTCGTGTATAGGCCGGCTGAAAAGACGTCTCTAGGACGTCTACAAAAAACTTCTCTAAGATGTCTTAAAAAGATGTCTTTATATATATATATATATTATTATTATTATATATTATAAGTTATTATATATATATATATATATATATATATATATATATATATATATATATATATATATATATATATATATATATATATATATATATATATATATATATATATATATATATATTAGGGTGGTGCTTAAAACAACTTTTTTGAGAAAAACCTGCTGGTACCCCCTAAATGTGTTTTATCTAATACAAAAACACTAGGTTTAAAATTTTTTTGAACAAAAAATATTTTTAGGGGTAGCTCAAGGCCCTCAAAAATATAACGGGTCCCTAATATTTTGAAAAAAAAACTTTTTCTAAAGTATGTCAACCTGGTACTCAAAATAAGCAAAATTATATAAAAAATTTAAAAATGAAAATAATTTTTTATAAAAATAATTTTTTCAGGTATAAATGCATAAAAACTATTGTTTTTAAGCTAAAAATGAAAAAAGTCAATATTTTCAGGTTTTTTGAAAATAATTTTTTTAGGCATGTTTTTTATGTAAAATGATTATTATTTTTGAAGTTTTTATATAAAATCGCTTCTTTTGAGTACCAGGTTGACATACTTTAGAAAAAGTTTTTTTTTCAAAATATTAGGGACCCGTCAAATTTTTGAGGGCCTTGAGCTACCCCTAAAAATATTTTTTGTTCAAAAAAATTTTAAACCTAGTGTTTTTGTATTAGATAAAACACATTTAGGGGGTACCAGCAGGTTTTTCTCAAAAAAGTTGTTTTAAGCACCACCCTAATATATATATACATATATATATATATATATATATATATATATATATAATATATATATATATATATATATATATATATATATATATATATATATATATATAATATTAATAGTAAAACCATATTAAAAATGCAATGTTGAAGACTTTTATAAAATTATTAATAAAGTGACACTTTTCAACAAAAAAAAAATATATATAAATAAAATTACATTTTGTTTAAACTTATAAATAAAACTATTATATTTGATTTAAAAACTGTATTTGAGTATAGTTTTTACAAGTTTCATATACAAGCAAGCGGTCTACTTCACCTCTCTCTGCAAGTGCTATGCGTCTCTGCCCGTCGCAATGTTGGTTGTTTATCAAAGGGCAATTTTTAATTAGATCATCTCGCTCACTTATTTCACATTGTAGCTCTGGAAAAGTTTCATGCAATGAATTTTTTTTTAATTTTTTTTTTGCAAAAAATTTTTTTATCCAGCTTTTCTTTTGTGGAATTTCAGTTCTTTGAGTTTCTTTTGTGGTCTCAATTCTTTTTTTATCGTTTAAAACTTTACTGCCAGCCGCTATAATTGCACTTGCTAAATCAGGATCAGACGTTGGTATCTCACACGTTGCAGCAACTGTGACGTTTTTATTTGCCGTCATATCTAATGTAAAAAATATTTAGGATACAACATTACGTTGCTTTACAGTTTAATTTATCATAAATAATTATATATATATATATATATATATATATATATATATATATATATATATATATATATATATATATATATATATATATATATATATATATATATATATATATATATATATATATATATATATATATATATATATATTTAATTATTTATTGAGGGGGAGGAGATATATGGGGGTATGCATTACCCCCCGCCCATCGGAATCTGAAAGTTCTAAAATATCTTAGAAATTGAAGACCTTTTTTTTTTTTAAAAGGAGACGCAAATGTGGTACAAAATACAAAAATATTTCAACGTTCCCCCACCAAAAATTCCTGAATCCGTCACTGTGCGTGATGCGTTGACTGAGGGTTTGGGCAGGAAGTATTTAACAAAAACTATTAAGATTTTTTTTTTTTTTTATTATTCTTTTGAAAAATATATTCGAATTATACACACTATATTACTGTGTAGTGTATGCTATTATGGTATAGAACTAAATTACTACTCACTAAATATATTATACTTTATATTAATCTATAATCATTATTAAACTAAAAATAATGTTATATTATATAGTGTATATTATTACGACAACAACAACTAAAAAAAACAACCAAAAAGTTTGAAAACTAAAGCAAACGTTGAAAATAAAATGAAGAAGGATATATGGTCGACTTTTGTAAATAATTTATAGACGGCAACTAACTCAATAAAGAGTTGACATTTTAAAGTGCGAAATTTAACAAGAACCAACATGCTGAGAGCGGATTTACTTTCACAATAGAATCTATTATTAATTTTTTGGATCTATTAAAGCATACAACTTGTTTCATGGTTTTTCATTGCCCTAATAATGTAATAAAGATTATTAATAAGAATCGTTAACCAATATTTGTACTAAAATACCAAATATTCAGCTGAAAAAATACCGAATAAATGAGTAAAATAAAATTACTTGACTTTTTTTAAACATAAATTAAAAAAAAAGACCAAAGATAAGCAAAAATGGCATAATTATTTAAAATAGATTCTAAAATGCTGTTCAGCAAAAATTATACTGTGGTTGAATTTGGATATTTTTAGACAAACTAATATTTATTACTTTTAAAAAAGGTTTTTTGTCTGACGTTATCTCGTTAGTTTTTTTTTTAGGGTAGACCGGGGAAGATTGGCCAGATCGCAGGTTGGCCCAGTCGAATTTATTTAAAGACTATGCACTTTGACGAGCTGGCAATCTAGGTGATAGTTGGTAGTAATTCAACCCTCTTTCCAAAAAAAAAAAGAAATATTGGATCGTAGTTAAAGTTGTGGGGCCGTTTTAACACTTTTTGATGTACCAAAATAAAATTTGATCAGTTTGTTTGACGTTAATATATTTACTGGTGATCAACAGTATTGCATTATCTAAATTCTAAGTTTAAAGCTTGTAGTTTAAGAATTATTTTAAAATAAAACTTGAAAAGCTATAAAATTACACGACAAAGAAAAAAAGCGGACCAACGGGCCCCGGTCTACCTTAAAGTTTTAAATACTTTTGTATTAACCTCAATAGTTGTACATTGTTGCTTTGTAATTTAACGCTTCTTATTATAATCATTTTTTATTTTCTTTTATTAACAATACTTTATTTTTAAACACTAATCGTAAATAAGCTGCAAATGCTTTTCCCAAACCCTTGCTCTATTTATAGTAATGAACAAAATTATGTAAATATTCTTACTAAATAACTTTTTAAGTCGAGAAAACAGAACAAGTTTAAAATTGAACAGCGATATTGAACAGCAAAGTCTATATAACTATTGTGTGGAGAATTTTCTAAATTTTCTTTGCAGCTCTATAACTTGTGATATGAATACACAAAAAATCTTTTTCGTAGCAAAGTCATAATTAAAATCAATGTAAAAAAACTATTTGAAATAATGTGTGCACTTCTTTTTGTTCGTTTTATTTTTCTTTTTGCTGCTGATTTGTTTACACCGTTTAAGAAATTTATATTAACTCAAAAAATAAGGTGGGCTTGATTTTAATAACCATAGAATAAAATAATTAGTTATACATTTCGATAAGCAATTTTATTCTCGCTAGTTAAAGAAATCAAACATAGTTATTAAAATAAACCATTTCAGTAAATAATGCAAAAAAAAAAAAAAAAAAGAAAATAAGTTGAAATCAGTCTTATGAATTACCCAATAGAAATTACGTAAACAACAGTTTCCAGTGTTTACTTAATTTATTTGACGTTACTGCTTTTTCTTAAACACACGTCATAGTGAGACGTAAAGATAATTCGAATAAAGATATTATGAAATAACTATATGAATAGGTGAGACGTAAGAATAATTTAGTGGGGTAGCCTAGCAAGAATAGATCAAGTTGGGCTTATGGAAACTTATTCTATCTTCTAAAAAAATAAAACTGTGTTTTAGTGCATTCAAAAATATACATATAAAACCTGTGTTAATTATCAAGAAAATTGAAATTCAATTTAAAATTAAACTCAATTTAACATAAGTTAAAGTACTTTTCGTTTTAGCTTGGTTTTGGAAGTATTTTGCTTTAAAATATTCTCATACTTTTCATTTTTTTTTCCTTTTTTTAAATTCTTCTCTTTTTGAAGAACCAGTTAGAATCTTTGATCTGCCTTTTTTACTTCTTTTATTTGTTTTTTTTTTACTTCTTTTATTTGTTTTTTTTTACTTTTTTTATTTGTTTTTTTACTTCTTTTATTTGTTTTTTTTAGGTAGAGCTTTTGAAGGTAGAGCTTTTGAAAATGCATCTTACAGATTCATGTATATAAGGTGTTTGATTGCAGAGCATTAGAAATAGATTTTTTGCTTTTGCTCTTTAATCATACCAACTTGTTTTTTAATGACTTTATCATAAGATTTGTTATAAACCTAATGTATGTCACATTATGAGGATCATCAAAGATGGATAAGCTAAATGATTCTGTCGTTATCGTTTTTAAATGAAAATTTTTGTGAAAAATGATATATTCCAGGAGTGAAAAAATCTGCAAGACTATTCCGGGCAAAATATGTTGTGGTGTATGCTGGTGTCAATTACGCCAACTGTGTATTGCTTTTGTTTTCCCCGTATTGAATAAAAACTAATCATTCTGACACACACACACACACACACTCACACACACACACACACACACACAGATATATATATATATATATACATATATATATATATATATATATATATATATATATACATATATATATATATATATATATATATATATATATATATATATATTAAAATATTAAAGTTATAAAAACTGGTAAAATGAAATTTTCTATGGCATTTTCTATACCCAGTATTGTAATTAGCTGTTTACATTCAGCAGACACGCAACGTCCAACTTTGCACCTATTGCTATAGCAATTGATAATATTTGTCATTATCGTGGTCAGTAAAATAAATATTTTTATCAGGAGCGAGATTGTGTTTTAGTCTTAAAATTTTTTCATAGTTTTTAAAAATTGATTTAATTTGTGTTGATTAAATCTTGTTGAGCGAGACAAGCTTGCATTTTCAGGGTTTTAAAAATAAAATTTATGAAGCCCACTCTATGCCCGCTTATTTATTTCCTATCTATTTAACTACAAAATTCTCTTGTTTATGTTCAGCCATAATTTATTTTATAGCTTTTTATAAGGTAGAACTTTGAAAGTACTCTTTTATATTTCTTCAGTCTGTAATCTAAAGTATTGTCTTTTATATTATTAATATTAATCTAATAAACGGCAATCAAGCTGTTAACAATATTAATTATTAATTAAAGATTTATTCTATTTTATAAATAACATAAAGCTATTTACTTTCAAGAAATCTCGCAATTTTATACTTTAAAATTAACTCAAAAACAAACCAATCAAAACGTCAGGAATGAGACAGCATTAAGAGCATACGTTATCTTTACGAAAAAATTAATTTGATAAAATTTATATACAAGATCGCTTCACAAAAGCGTTTTCTCAAAGTTAGCTCTGCTCAAAGCTGCCTCCTTTTTTCCTATAATGAAAAAGTGATATATCAATATATATATATATATATATATATATATATATATATATATATATATATATATATATATATATATATATATATATATATATATATATATATATATATATATATATATATATATATATATATATATATATATATATAAACATCTTATTTAAAATAAACAACATATCATATATACAAAATAGGTTATAAACATTTTATGATAATTTAAAAAAAGCGCATTTTTGTTTTATTTGTACGTATTCTTTTTGAAAAATGCAAAAATTATTTCAGTATGTTTTTTAAACTTTAGTTTACGATAACAACGTACGTGGACATTGAAAAATATTTCTAGAATAGTTTTAATATCTTGTTTACATAATGCATGTACTAAAATTTACAAGTTTTAACAAATAAAAATCATTTCGAGCATTGATTCCATCCTTTAACATGTCTGATGATTCCATCCTCTAACATTAAAAAACAGATTATAATAAACTGGCCTTTTTTTATTTTAGAAGGACCGTGTCATTGGGATAAAGTTGAACAGGTGTGGGGTAAAGTGGGAGAAGCAAGCAATTAAAAACATATGTTTTTAATTGCTTGCCTAAAATAAACATCATTTTTTATGATTCTTATGCACGAAGTGACAACAAATATTATTAAAGAAAAAAAAAAAAATTTTTTAAAGTAAAATAGGCATTCATTTTTGTAATTTTTCTTAAATGACTAAAGTTAAACGACGATTGATTACTTAGGCGATTTTATGATATATATATATATATATATATATATATATATATATATATATATATATATATATATATATATATATATATATATATATATATTATAAAATCCCCACTATCTCAAGTAGTACAATTTTTTTATCATACAGTCTTTATCTTGCATTAAATTGTTCGGATTTAGTTGGAAAAGCAACAGCTTTGCTAAAAATGTTTCTGGTTAAATCTTTTAAGGAAATAAACTTTAAACAGTATTTTTTGAACATATATTAAAAAAGAAATCTAAAAGCTAATATTATTATTTGCTGTATTACTCAATAGACCATAACTTTTTAAAAACTTCAACTTTAAACTGAAAAAATATTTGAGTATTTTTAGTAACTTAAGTAATAATTTACATCTATTCATAATGTAAATATTTTTGCTAAAGTAAAAAAGTGAATAGTATAAATATTAAAAAAAAAATATTTTCGGGGAGACAATAGTTTTTTTATCACTTTCCTTTTTCGGCTCTATGTGAGATATCAATATGCCAGTATATCAGTATGCTAATATGTCATTATGTCGTATAAGCACATTACATTATGTAAATTCTGCTACATACCGTGCAGTAAAAATGATTGGAGCAAAATATAAAAATGTAATAAGTTTAATTTGAATAACTAATACATTCCTCATTTAAGTTGAGTTTATGAATTTCACAACAAAATCGAGATAATTATAACTGCTTTGCAACATAAAAAAACAAATGTTAATAACTTTCAACTTGTAAATAAAAATTAACTCGACACTGAAATAGTAAGTTAATGAGTTCCCGCCTTTTATGGATTTCCTTTTAAAACCGTTGAATAATAAATATTTATTTAGAAATAAAAAACTACAAATACAACATGATTTTATCATACTCTAAACCATCGTTTATTCAACTTGACTTTCCATGACGTGCCATGATTAGTAAAAACGTCAAAAACTTGACGTTTTTACTATCAGAGCACATAAATAATCTTGCATGTTCCCAGCCAATTATTTGTTAATAACCCTTGTGTAATTGTGAAAAATACTTTTTTATTGTTTATTTATATACTAAAAACAGAAAAAAAAATGTAGAAACTTTATTTATAAAGATTTACGACATTCATAAAGAATTGCGATTTACGAAATAAAATTGGGTAATATTCTGATAATTTAGTTTATTCTTGATGGAAAACATATTTTTTTATGAGAGTTATAACAACAGATGGAAAGTTTCGTCTTCTACAAAATAATATAAATAGAAATAAAAATAAAAAGTTATACATACATATATATATATATATATATATATATATATATATATATATAATATATATATATATATATATATATATATATATATATATATATATATATATATATATATTTTAACTTTAAGTCGGTATCTATTATAATGAGGAAAATCATAAAATTAGGATATTTTTTTAAAATGGGTAAATGATAAAAAAAGAGGAGAAAATCAGTTTATAAAAGGAAATATTAAAAAGAAGTATAGAACTATTACATAAGATTAAAATGATAAAACAAAAATATAGATGATTGATTATCATTTTATTAATTATTAACTAACCTAAGTGGAACCTTATCATAGTTATTATCAAATAACTCCTTAATTTTTCATCCTAATAAATTAAAAACATTCCTATAAAACTTAGAAATAAAAATATTATTGGACCGTACTTCTAAAATATTCAAATACCGAATGTTTTAAAGTTTTTATTTTTTAAAAATTGAGAAGATTAAAGTAAATTAGGATTTTTTTTAACACGAAAAAATCCTAATTTACTTTAATCTTCTCAATTTTCTCAATCTCCCTTTTAAAATCTAGTTTTTTCTACGTTTAAAATTACCTTTACAATATGTATTAATATTATATTTATAAATACTTAATAATATTTACAATATGTCGCAGGAACAAAGTAATTGAAATAATTAAAAGTCAAGTGAAAAAAAAAATTATTGCTCATGCACAGATGTGCAATTAATTATGTTGCCTAAAATACTAATAAATGGAGTGAGTAAAAACACTTTTGAAATGTAAATTAAATTTTTTTTCATCCAACATAAGTAAAAATTTCAAGTTATAACCCAAAACCCAGTTCTGTAGAGCTTCTATCAGTTTATGATACTTTTGTTACCTTTCTTCAAAAAACAAAAGAATGCAAATAACCCCCTGCTTCTACTCACATAGTTTGCAGGATCTTTTTTATCAATGTTTAGAAAGCTTTCACTTCTAACACTTTTTTGAGAG